GTACAACTCATGGAGACTCATCTCAGTCATTAAAATGTCTGTAAGCTGTAAGCTGTTTCAAACAGGTTACATCTGTTTGAAACAGCTTCTTCAGGAATCACCTTTTGTGCAAAGGCATCTGTCTTCTTATGATTATATAATACATAAAATGAATATGAAGCCATATTTGTGCTTAAAAATTATACTTGTTTTTGTAATATTTAATTTTTGCAAGAAACTGAATTTGAGGCTTTTATTACCTTTCAAGTCATTGAAAATGAACAGACATCACTGAATGAAGTTTGGGCTTTACTTTGTAAATGTAATTAATGAAATAAATGATCAGATTTTCTGTTGTTACGGTTCATCTGGGTGGAACAACGTTTTGCAGAACTCATTTCAGAGTGGAACTAAAATATTCAAAATGACTTAATGCTGCCTTTTGTCTCTGATTTGAAAATGGGTCAAGTTCAAACAACTCTTGCATCAGTCAATGAAACCTGAGCTCTGAACTTGTTATTGTTCTGCATTGTTACTCTGCAAACATAAAGAAACTTTGGGACACGCTGCGATCAGTGTTCCTGAGACTAATCTCTCTTCTTTCAGAGATTACACTGCAGCACAGTGCAGAGAGCCTCAGAGCATCTAATTGAAAAAGCAGAGGAAATCCCACTGACACCACAGTAACAACAAGGGCTCCCAATAGAATTACAGGTATTAGAGCTGGCCACATTACAGCACGGCTGCCGATACGAGTTTGGAAAGAAGAGCGTGGAATCGGAGCATCAGGGTGTAGCAGTGCTGAAGGATAAAGATACATGTGGAAAGGCAGACAAGAGAAATAATCGCCTTTGCTACTTATCAGTGTGTCCAGGCGGGAAATGGCGTCTGACCTCTTTGCAGTTTGACGCTTAAAGACAGAGTGCATGGTCCCCTGTGGAACCGAACACAGCTGGCCTGTATCACACCTGTGGCATCAGGGGACCAAACATCCACATCACGCAAGCATGAGCTTCTGGTGTGTGGCCTCTATAAAACCTTAACCCAGTGCAGAAGAATTTTTTCATCGAGTCAAATTGTTTACAGTTTGCATTAAAAATCAGATTTTTTTTTACTTTTACAACATGAAGACAGTGAAAGAGAAATGAAGAGAGAAAAAATAGATGCCTAGATCCTGAGACAGAGAGGATTAGTCATGGCTGCATGTTGAAAAGAAGAGCAGCCTCCTGCACAGACAGGCGATCGGCTAAGAGACGAACTTTCACTCCACGAGATGCAAGGCTGACTTGTGTTCTGCCTATTCTTACACTATTATTACAGCAAAGCAGACAGGCGACACTTTCCACGAGGTTAACTTCGATCCCAGTGGACAGCTTTTCTTTGGACACGATTTGTTGGTCTATAACTTCTGACATAAAAAATCACAAACTGTGAGATGGAAAGTAGTTTTTAGTGAGCTGACGTTTCTATCCAGCCTTAGACGCATTTTAAGTTCCAAAAGAATCATATTTGTCCTCTTCCTCAGTCTCTTCTGAGTTTTCTTACATCAGTTTTCAACATTTTTTACAAACGAAAATCTAAAAAATGTCCTTCACTTGTCCTCTGTTCCCTTTGACTCTGTTACAACTAAACAAAGTTCAGTGAAATCAACGTTCTTTGGAAAGCTGTAACTAGTCTAATTTATTCTCATTATAAATCCAACAGTTTCTTAAAAGTCTCTGATGTTTGTGAGAGAACATTAGCATTAGCATCGTTCTCCGTGTGGTTCAGTCAAAGTCCGCAGCTGAACCCAATCAGAATGAAGCTTTTTCATTCCTTTTAACACACAACTTTCTGTTAGTATTCCATGTAAAATGCAAACGCAGAGGTTTGTGGTTATAGGAAGGTTTGGTGAAGATGTCCAGGCTTGTGCAGGTGTTATGAGGACGGATCGGTGAGCGAAGCCATTTGGACTCAGGACAGTCTGTCCCACTTCCTGCTGTTAGTGGAGTTGAGTAGTTCCCTCTGTGCTGCTGGTGTGTTTATCCTCTGGGTGGGTGTGAGTGGATGATGGCGTCGCTTCAAGCCAAAACCCATCATTGGTATGTTGGGAATGTTCATCATTACTTTTAGCTATTTAGCTCATCGGTTTATTAGGAACAAAAATGACGTTTGTTGCTTTTCTGTCAACGTTTTCTGTCAGATTTACATTTTTTCCTGATTTTTCTTTCAGCCTTCCCAATTTATTCAGTAACAATATATAATAAGTTTATGCTTTAGTATTTAGTCAACATTAAACAATTTGAGTTACGTAAATGTAAAGTTAGAAGTTCTACTTTAATGAGTCAAGGTATCCCCAGCGGTAGATGTCGTCGCAGTCGGGAATAAAAGACAAAGTGAGCAGATATCTGGTTCCCAGGAGCATTAGTTACTTCTCAGAACAGAGACCTGAACACCTGGTGAATCATTCATCTGTCCTCCATCTTGTCCTTAATGTGCCAATTATGAGCCAGAGCCTTAAACAGATGATCTGTTTCATTTCTACTAACAGACTGCTGATTACTAAACTGACACAAAGTAAAACATTTAAAATGCTGAACATTTTTGAACACAGTTACATTTTTATAGCAGAAGAAGAGATGTATCCTCTTCCCAGTAAATAATAAAGAGCATTTTTTATTTGGTAAACATTTTTGTGCACATTTTGTCTTTTTTCAGAGGTTGTGCAAGTAATGAACCACTTTGAAAGGTCAACATCATAACCATGAGTACGATGGTTTGATGTAATATGAGAGCACTGGGTCAGAAGTCTAAAACAGGTCTAATGAAACCCGGAGGACTGGGTTCACTCGTCCACATCACAGCAACAATAATGACTGCAACGCTGCCGGCTGAGCGCCACTGTGATTCTATCGCCTGTGCACATCGAGTCCCTGATCCTCCCTCTGATTAGAGCAGGGAGAGGAAATCCTCATCTTGAGTCCCACAATCATTAGTGTTGATCACAGCTGCAATTAAACTCTCGTTTATCTTAATTACTGAGCTAATGAGACGAGTCCCGCAGGAGCACGCCGCGCTCTCCGAGGACACTCAGGGCGAGGAGCAGGAATGCTGGAGAGGCGTCATGCAGAGTCAAGTCTGCAAACAAGCAGAACTCAGGAGTCTGGGTCTGTTTTCCTGCAAAAGCAGGAAAACACCAGCACACCGCTGCTTCTGGAGACCTTCACTTCCTACCTTTAACTCTGGCGTCGCACAACCCTTCATCTTGCATTATCTATCGAACTTATAATGATTTTATCAAGCCTTCATTGCGGTGCTATAACTCTTGATTTTGCAACGACTGGGAATACATTGCGCCACCTAATTAATGTCTTTTTAATGCTCTTCTCCTCTAGAGCTTAACTCAGCTTTGCAACAAACACAACACACACAACAATGTAACATGTGGCAGCAGACGGTAAGTAAGACCGAGTGGCTGAGAGCAGCAAATGAGAGCAGAGGGTTTATGGTGGTGGACTCTGCTGCACAGCACTGAAGGACACCAGTGACCACAGTGCAAACACATAAACACATGTACAGTCATAATGTTTAGACTGAAAATTAATCTGACAAAAAGTTGGAGCAAAAGGTGCATCTCATGGAAGCAAAGTTAGAATAAAAATCTGAGGATGATGCATCTAAAAAGGTTTGCAGAAGAAAACATTTTCTCTGTAAACTATTATAGTTTGCAAAGTTTCATCCAAATGAACCACAAGATTTCTGGGATAAAGTTCTGTGGAAATATGAACCAAAGTATAGATGTTGCTTCAGCGTGAAGCTGGGAGAAAACCAAACCCAACACAAGAGCAGCAGCAACAGCAGTCAGGCATGGTCAGCCACAACTGACACATGAATATATTTCATTAATTTATTTATTTGTTAGATAGTGATCCTCCCCTTTCCAATGCCGCCCTGGGAAACCGCCCATATCTCCCACATCAAAAACCACCACTGCAGGCACAACAAAGTGTTTTGAACACATTCTGACAAATATATATATATATATAATTTTTCACTTCAATATAATTTTCCTAAACTATTTTATTATATTGTTGCCATTAGTAGTCATCACTTTTTGATGACAAGAAGTTATTTGTACACGATGATAAATAAACCATCATAAACTCTTTAAATCCATATGTTATCATTTGTTGGCTGTGATGCAGCTTTTAAATTTAGCTGCATAATAAAAATGTTAAAGGGATCCAATAGAATGATTCATTTAGGAGCCATGTTTATGTTATAGGCCTGATGCATAATGAGCCACACTCCCTGCAGAATGCAGCCGCTGCACAATAATCAGATTTCAGTTCATTTCATTGTAAAACGACAAACTTCACATAAACAACAGCAGCAGCAGCAGCAGCAGCAGCAGCAGCAGCAGCAGCAGCAGCAGCAGCAGCAGCAGCAGCAGCAGCAGCAGCAGCAGCAACAGCAGCACTTCACATCGTTTTACAGCAGTCGCAGCCCCGTCTTTCCAGAGGTGAAATCTGGATGAAAACCCAGTTTTAAAACTTTATCTCTCCACTAAAATGTAGTGGAAATCTTTTCTTTCCATGAATATTTGCGATATCGTCCTAACAAACAGGTAGACAGCATAACTTGAAGGCATAAACATCATTCTTGGCAGAGGAAGGAGAACCAAGCAGGATCACAGCTTCATCCTTATCATCACCATGCAAACTGTTTTTATCTTCTTTAGTAATACCCACACAGGGCAGGGATATTAAATACACACTTTATTTTTTTAGCTTAATTTGTCACTTTGACAAACTGTAATCCTATTTTGATAGAATAAGCCAAGTTTAGAAAGAAAACAAAAACTAAATGTGGGCTGATTTCTGCTCTGTTAAATCAGAAAACATACTTAGAAACTGTTGTGGTGAAGTTAAATCTCCCTACTGAGTTCTGATCACACCTGCTGCTGATCGCTGAGTTGATCAGACTGATGAAGAGGAAACTCCTCAGAGTTACTGACATCAGATCAGTTCTGTGGTTCTGACCTGAGACGATGGTGTAGCCGATTCCTCTCGGTTGGCCCCGATCCTGGTCAATGGCTGTTATCGTCCTCACTTCAGTCCCCTGCAGAGACAAAGGAAGCACAGAGTAAAGTTTGCAGTAGTTTCTAATTTATCCAAAATTTATTTGTAGGTTTGCTGCTAGAGGATAAGGCTGCTGTTTGTTTCTTTCCATTTATGCTCTATTTGCAATGACTGCTGCTGTTGGGTTTTGTTCTCTCTGTATGTTCTGATCCATAGAAAGTAGCAAATTTGATAATTATGAATTTAGCTTTGGAATTAACCAGCAGCTTTTGTTGGAGTTGTTTTTGCCATTGACTTTGATTTTATCTGGCTCAGCGCTTCAGTATTCAGATGGTGATGAAACTATTACTGCAGTTTTCTTTCCCGATTAAAAGTATTCCTGGTTCAGTGTTGCATGTTTAGCAATCTCTCTTTCTACTGCCGCAGTTCACTTTGTGTATTCTTGGTGTTTTTTTTGTCAGATATAAAGCACATCTGTCACTGCTTCCACATAGAGAACCTTTTCACAAAGATATGCAAGCTTGTTTTAAGTTGATAAATCCTTAATATTGATAAAATGTACAAGCTCCACTGGTAGATTATTTAATTTATGACATGGGAAATAGTCTAGTTACGATGGATAGTTGGTTTCACCTTTTTTAAAATTGTACTATTTGTACTGTAACTATTGTTATAATTTAAATAGTTAGATTTAGTGTTTTTGCAGTGAAGCATGACGTTCATTTTCCTTGGTAGACTGTGAATGTCAGCTTCTGCAGAAGTGCGAAGACTGTTTTCCACTCAGGGCATTTTTGCATATTAAGGTTTATGTTGAAAATACTAAAATAGACAGAAGTAAGCAATCTTCACTGCAGGTTGTGTTCCCTAAAACTCACAATTACTAGAGGTTCAGTTCGAAGTGACTTAAACACAAACATTTTCTTTTGCCTTTGTTGCGCTCTCGAGATGTTTTGGAAAAAAATAATTTGACAATAAAAGCTAAAAATATTTCAATGGATCTTACAAAAACAAAATATTGGAAATACTGGGAGCTCTTATACAGGTAGTCCAACATTGTTTTTTCCTTTCTTTATGTTTAAAATTATATTTATTTGGTGTTTATTTTTCTTGCATTTCTCTGAAGCTCTCCTGCTGTGAAGATGAGTCCGCTCCCTCAACAAATCACAGTATGACAGCTCAAAAAAAGAAGAAAAAAAAAACAGAATAAGGAAGAAAAAGAAAGCTGTTTGAAAAGCCTTTGATCTGCAACACTTTTTCAGCCTCCGTGCCTCAATCAGACACGGTGGTGATGCTTAAAAACCCCCGTGCTGCAGCGACACAGCCTTTCCTGCTTCCTTGCATCCTTCCTCCCTCCCAGCCTCCGTCATCGCCTCTCTCGCTCACACCTCAGGCCTGCCTCCCATTGATCCTGCAAATTGTGTCTTAGACATGTTTATGCTCCATTTCTGCCAAGGCATCTCCTGTCATTGACCAATTACACCAGAATCAATTACAAGCCTTTTAAAAAGGAGAACCATTCCCCAGCTGAGAGGGAAACACACACACACACACGCACACGCCCAGGCACACACACACACTTGCAAACATCGAGGAAAGATGTAGAGAAAAATAAGAGGAAGTGATGCTGAAGTAATGTGAGCAATATTCTTCAGCTGTCCACACAAGTGGAATCTGTTCAATCAGCCATCACAGATACAATCCCTCCCCCCTTGGGGTGCACACTCTCTCACACACACACACACACACATTGTGAGAAATGCCAAAACACACACACACAAACACACCACCGCCAACCATCCTTCCATTTCTTGCTATACAGTGCGTTTCTCCCCCACCTCCTTTTCTCCTTCTCATAGGTTTGACAGCCAAATTGTGTGTTTGTCCTAGAAGGAGCTTAATGTCAGTTAGAGCATAGATTCACAGCCATAACTGTTAAAAACACAGACCTGTGATTTCATCTAAAAACAACAAAAAATAAATAAATAACATTTTTCAGCGCTTTGTCAAACGTTTTTCCCTGGATGACAGGTTGATTGGCCTTCGGAGAAAAGAAAAGAAAGAATCTTGGAAAAAAAGGTTTTTTTCTGAATTCAAACTTTGTGAGAAGACCTGTAACAGGTCTGTGTTTGACGGACTCATGTGTAAATGTCATGAGCTTTTACAGCAGCTGACACGGCTTCTGTCAGCATACAACATCAGCAGCTTATCAATGGCAAACAGTGCAGAGTGGAAACGACACGTGTCTGTTAGATTACATGAGGTCACCGGAGGTGCGCACTGCTGGCCCGCATCACCACGTCCTAACGAAAGTACAGAGTCAGCCATATGTCAGACCGCCAGGAGAGGAAGTGTAAAAATAAAGAAAATCTGGAAATGAATGAATGTACTGGAGAAGTAACGTTTAACAGAGAAAAAAAAAACAACTTTTAATATAAATAGGGTGGAAAAATCCAAAACAAATGCAACCAAGAATTTCTTAATCATTTCTTAAAATTTTATGCTGATCAAAGGAACTGTGTGGTTCCAGATTGTTTCACTTTAAAAGTTTATGACTTTGTGATAGGATTTTTCAAAATCTAAAGTGTAAAAATGATGTTTTTGTAACTGATCGTTGTCATCCCAACAATAGATGTTTCAGTCTCTCTAATCCTCCAGTAGGTTCACTTCCCTTCGTCAGTCTAACGTTTTGTTTCTGTATCATCCCGCCCAGTTCTGCCTGTTTGACCTTCCTGCTGACAGTTGATGAATCAGGGAGTCAGGGAGACACGGGGCGTCGGCGCCGTCACGCCCTCTTAATATGCATGCAAATGTAGCACTTGACATTTCTGCTAGGTTGCGGAGAGGCTGCGGACCGGGATAAGCCAGTGGCCGTGTGAGCCTCGCTGGCCTGGGTGATGAACTGAGTTTGGGCAGGAAGGAAATGGAGTGATAGAGGGGGAGAAACAGAAAGAGGGACAGAGAGCATCATCCTCATGAGGATAATTCCCTCCAAGCAAGTGGAAACATCAACAGCTCGACTTTCAACCACCTGGTGCGAAGTCAAGGAGCTAAGAACAGAGTCTGAGTGTAACGGTGCTCAGGGAAACAGACAGTATATTAGATGGCCATTACAAACCCAATTGCAATTATGACTAAGGTAAGGTCACAGGGAGACCCCACTGCTTAGCAATTCATGCAATTCACAGACTTCTGACCTTTGCTGGAGGCCTAACATCCCAGAGGCACAACAGTAAATTTTCTGCAGTAATTACGACCTGACACACCTGCAGTGCTGCATGCAGACCTCCTGCTGAGGGGGTTCTACAGGAAACTCAGAAAGGTGGAGAATCCTGCTGTAATTATAATTTAGGCCTTCTCCTCACCTACATATTTTAAGCTAAATGAACTTCTGTGATATTAAAGAGCAGGAGTGAGAAACGTAGTTCCTAGAGAAGGTTGATAACCATGACCCTCAGAGGAGTTGCTGCAGCATTACTTAGTAACACCGCTACTTTTCAAAGTGTGAATTCTGATGTCAAAGTGAAACTTGAAGCTGAATTTGTTCTGGTTCAGATTTGGCCTTTGCCAAGGCATCAACAATAGGACAAGATGGATCCTGGTCTGGTTTGTGAATCCAAGCAGCTCATCTTTGCCTGTTGCAGGTGCTGCTGCGGTTCTGATCCGAGCCACGATTCTCTACCTGCTGCTGAACCGTCTGTAGTTGAGTTCGAACCGCTGAGGATGAGAGCCAGTTCTTCTAAATGCAAGGCCACAGTTACTGACTGAAAGACAATAAACTGCTCGACTCGAGGCAGGTGAAGTAATGGCAGGATGGAAAATAGATGAATTGATGGTTTGGGGCCTAAGTTAAAGGAATGCAGACGCCTCTCCTGTCTGCTGGGATAAATAGAGAGAAAAGGCAGAAAAGGTTTACCTTCAACCCTCTCCCTCAGTATCTTCTCCTTTTAGAGTTTTGATCACAACCAAAAGAAGAAGATCCTGTATTCAAGCAGCTGAAGTAACCTTTCTGTTTTAGCCTGGAGTAAACCCTGAACTCTGGAAGTGCTTCAGTTATTTGTTGTCAGGATACCTGAAAATGAGCTGGAGAGAATGACGATCAGAGGAAAGACTAAAGGTCCTTAAAGGGACGTCAGGAGGCTTCGGTGTGATAAATCAAATGACAGATGTCAAGCACATATTAGTCAAAGCCATTCTGAAGCTGAAACAGATCTGATGACTTGATCATCATGCTGAACAGGTTTGAAAGGGAAGCATTAAGAGTTGGACCATTATTTGAAATTTCTGACACAAAGTTTGTGATATAAATGATGTAGAAGCAGTTTAAACAAATGAGAAAATACACAGAATAAAATATGATTTTAACACAAAAGGTTTCTAAAACTGTTTTATCAATGATGTCTGAGAGTGAAGTGATTTGGTCCATGTTTGATTTATATATATATATATTTTTTTTTTTAACCAAATCTATTCTTTCCACACACATAGAAAAGGTTTCACTGATCAGCAGCAGCTCTAATGGCTCCCTGTTCAGTATTGTGTTCATGTGAAATTTCATGATGTTTTGTTACAAAAAAGATTTACTTATATTTTAACTGATTCCTCCACAAAGTTGCTTAAAGTCCTTAAAAACGTGAATATTTGGATTGAAGGACTGACCAGAGGAATGTCCTCTTCTACGTTGGTACTGTAGGGCAGGTTGGTGAAAATAGGGTCCATATCTTGGATATCAGTGATGGTGACGGCTAAGTTTGCAAGTCTGGACAGAGGTCTCACTTTGTCTTGATCCTAGTAAAACCAAAAGACACAATCAGATTGTTTCCAGGAGCATTAATCCATGGAGATGTGTGGCGTTGTGAGCTAGCTGACCGTGGCGTTTACGGTGAGCTGGTAGGCAGTTGTTGTCTCATAGTCCAGCGTTCTGGTGACAGTCACGGTGCCTCGGGCTCCGTCGATGGCAAAGAAAGGAGAAGGAGGCTGGAAAGAGAAGAGAACGCTGCCCCCGGTGCCTTGGTCCGGATCTGTGGCGTTCACCATGAATATCGATTGGCCCACCGGCGTGTTCTGAACGACACAAGCAACAGAAAACAGGAAGCAGTGAGAATAAATCCACAGAGTCAAACATACATATTTACTGGGAACAACACAGTGAATAAAATCAACTTCTGTCCTGAATGTGTTATTGGAAATCCTTAAATATCTGCAAACAATTTCATCCATCAAAATTTCAGTTGAAGGAGTTTTAACTTAAAAAAATTAAGTTTGCACATTGTTTTTAAATATTTTCACAAACATTTTTTAACCAATTCTTCTTCAAGTTCATAATTATACATCAGAATGCAACCCTCCAAGGATGAGCAGGTTAGACGGTTGAATATTCATTCATTCTGTTTCATAAAGCTCATGGTTTTTTAAAATGTGGGGATAAAAATGCTGCAACTCAACGACTCTTATTGTATTCAGGAAAACAAAGAAATATGATTCATTTATAGCAGCTGCAATGTGGTTCATCTGAACTGTTTTAAAAACCAGAGCAGGATGAGATTGTATGCAATGCAAACAATGAGGATTCCCATGTTTCTCATATTTTATTTTATTGCAGTGTTCATCCTCACTTAAAACCCTATTTAATTAAGAACTGGAATGAGATTGCAGCCTGTTGCACACTGAACAGACAAAATCAACTTCCTGCTCTTAGAGTAGAAATACTCATTACTTACTTTACTCAAGTAAAATAGTATTTGATTAAAGTAAAATAAAAAAAACTACTGAACTATTGACTAACTCATAATGACATACATAAAAAATATGTACTCAGACAAAACCATAAAATATGTGCAAGTTTCATTTTCAGGACTAAAACACTAAATAAAAAATCCAGGCAGAGGAAAAGACTTTTCCATGTCCAATTATTAACACATAAAACGTATGAAACTAATTTCTGCAGCAGGTGTAGTTCACCATGGAATATGTGAAACAACTTCTGGATATTTTTTACTAAAGTAAATGTAAAACTACAGCACAGTAAAAGTATTTCTTTTTTCAAAAAGTTACTGAAGCAAATGTAAGTACATCCTGCCCACTTCTTCTGCCTTATAGCTACAGTAGAATTTCGTTTTTGTAGTTTTAAATTTTCCTCAACACTAATTCTTCTCTTGAGTCGGTTACTTCAGTTCACTCTGAAAACTTCACAAACTTCCTCTCAGCTCTGATTTGGTGAAACTTTGAGCGTAGCTAAAGCAAATATAATTTTACAGGAAATAAGGAGTAGAATAAATAACACGATAAACATAAACAGCATCTGAACCTGTGACACATTTGCTTGATATAGTCATTATTCTCTTCAACTCGTCTGGTTGTTAAAAACACCTGAATCCCCCCAGAGCCGGCTGTTTGTGTGCACACGTCCACGCATGCATGCATCTGTATCTCTGCACGTCATGGATGCCAACATTATCAACTCTGCTTTGATGTCAAGGAGGCAGACTGATAGGTAAGCTATTGCTGAGTGAGTTTGTGCATGCTTCATTTTCAGGATGAGCCTGAGATGTGTTTAAATGTTCGTAATAGGACATTATTTTCTTCCCCTAAAGCACAGCGGCTTTTATCTCTGTGAACAGCATCCTGTAAAACAGTGAGTCATTACCATCGCCCAGTGTCGAAAGCCCCGAGGGCCGGAACAACAGACCCACGTCCCGATCCGACATGTAAACACTCACAAATACCTGTTTTGATCTGCCAGATTTGACAGAGGCGCTACGTTCAAAGAGGTGCAGCAACCGTTCAAAGCGCTGACGAGAGCACGATTCCATTTTTAAATTCTGGATTTTTCCAGTGTCTGATTTTCAGATGGCTCAGTCCATGTTAGCTCATATGAAAAATGCAAACACAGAAAATTACTTTGAATTCGTCAGAAATGTCTGTGGAACTTTGAAAAAAGCACAAACTGGAAGGATGGAAGAACGGCTGAATAGATGAACGAAAACATAAAACTGAACTTTACAAATACAGAATGAAAAGATGCAAACATTTTTTTCTCACCGTGTGAATTTGAAACCCATCAAACTTGTTTTATGTCAGAATTACCAAATTTATTTTCATTTGCTAAATGTCAGAATAATGAGGCAGAGAACGTCGTCAATTTACATATTAATATCATCAAGTTTTCATTTATTTCCTCAGTATTTGGCATGAACTGTATGAATTGGGTCAAACATTTTGAGTGTCTTTCCAGAAGCATCTTTCAAGAGATTCCTAGAGTTCTGGTCCATACCTCCTGACAGAACCAGTGGAACTGTCTCGGGTTTGAAAGCTCACTCACTATCACAAACCTTTTCAGATCTGCACAAATATTCTCTCTAAATCAGCTGCAGTGAAACATGGACTTTGTTGTAACAACCTTGGCTGTAAGCGTTACTGTTAGTCTGGAAAACCAACCTGATGTCTGTAAGTTGCTACAATATTTCTACATAATGTTCTTTCCTCATGATGCCGACTGCTGTCTGAAGTGGACGAGTCTCTCCTGCAGTACAACAACTGCACAACATGATGCTGCCACCACCGTACTTCACAGTTAGGATGGTATGAACCTCTCTGCTCTCCCTCCAAATCTAACAGTGGTCATTATGGAAAAACCGTCTCCTCAGACCTCAGGACTGTGTCCAGAAATTGTTTTGTCTCTGTGTTCATCTGCAAACTGCAGTTTTTGTTTCTTTTGGCTTCTTCCTTTCTGAGTGGCCTTTCAGGAAAAGTTTCACAAGGTCTTTTGTTGTGGAATAGATTTACACATCTTGTACCAGAACCCGTTTATCTCTGGGACACAGAATCATTCTTCGTCTCTAGTGGTGTGATGTTATATTGATGTGAAAGATAAATCCTTCAGAGACAAACATTTCTCCATATTCTATAATTGTTTTTCTATACTACTCCTGATTTGGAAAATGTTTAAATTCAGATCTAGAGTCAGAATGTTGAGAAGTGCAGATGACAGGCTTCCACCAGCGCATGCACATGTGTGTGTGCATGTAGGTGTGTGTGTGCGTGTGTGTGTGAGCACTGGCTGCCTCAGAGGTTAGCAGGCTTAGCGTTGCGCAGGTGTTTGAGCAGCTAATCTGGACTCTCTGACCTCTCCTCACAGACAGAATGAGCATCTGTCAAAAACACATTCACATTATTCATTCTCATCTTCCTTTTATCCCTCGAGGCGCTGAAGGTCAAAATGCTCCATCAGCATAAATGGTGCATTTAATTAAGAAGCACAATCCAAAAACAACTGTTAAAAAGCTCGCTAAAGATCTCCGACTTTTTTGGTCTTCACAATCAGTGGATTCTTGATCTGTATCTGAAATGAAAATGAAACTATGAACTATAGATGTTTTAGGTTTTATTAGCCTTCCAGACTGTCCAGTCACATGTCTTTGCCCATTGAGACCAGAGGCAGCTGAGCTGCTGCCATCGCATGGATACCATAGCGAGGCGTCGCATGTGTCCCCTCCATTCCTTCCTGGGTGCAAAAGCCAATTGGTTAGTCACGGCTCATATTCCTGCGTATATGGCTTGACAGCGCTTTGTAGCTTTTGAATAAATGGAGGCCATTTCCACAGGGAAGAGGAATGTTAAAGGGTGAGACAGTTGAAGAGGGATGAAGAGTGTTCCCCGCTGTGTCTTATCTGAAGTGCACCGCAAGAACCGCCGTCCTCTCCGACTGAGAGCTGCTGCTAGTAGAAACAGAAGACGAGACGCAAACCGCAGAGATTCAACGTTTTGGGAGAGTTTTCACATCCTTTTTATGATTTACTACAATATTTTAAAGTGGTTTCAGCACATAAATTTGTAGCATTAATATTTAATATTCAACAGGCTTTTGAATTTAGGGTTCCACAATGTAGGCAATTAAATGCAGCCGAACACAAATTCAAGCAACACTAGATTTTTATTTATATGTAAAAAAGAATGAAGTACCATCAATGTCCTTTTCTTCCATTTCATAATTCTTCACAGCATTCTGTTGGTCTGATTCAGAATATTGGTAAAATATACTACATTTTAAATTTTTTGCAATGTGAATAAATGTGATAAGTTTGCAATGGTATGAATATTTTTGGACCGGACAAACAGTTCCAGGTGTGATGTTTGCAAAGGTTTAATATTCAATATTTAGGTCTGATCCTTAAATCTGACCTGACTCTGAATATGCGCCAAATTATGTCCCAATATCAAACATAATGACGTAACAACAGCGTGATCAAAACATCTTGAGTCTGGGAAAACGCTTTCCCAGTGAAAAAGTCGATTATATAGACAGACCAGTAATAAAAGTGAAATATTTAGCAGGCAGTAAAGGATGTCTTCTGACTCGACAAAGTGTATGGAAGTAATATTTAGGTGCTTTGGAGTTATATATGGTGCTTTATATTAAATTCTCAAAATAAGATCCAAGGAGCAAGAGAAATGTCATCAATGGGAGAAAGTGGCATAGAGGTGATAAAAATCTATTAATACAAACAACTAAAATGGATTCAGGTCAGAAAGAAAGACTATAAAACGAGAGCATATTTATTTCTGTGAAACTCTGGCCTTGCAGTGGAACCTGGTGTTTGTTCTCGTGTCAGTTTAAAGGAGCAGCAGGTGAAGATGATGTGAGTCAGATGTCTGGGTCTACATGGCAGAGGGACCTCTGAGGGCCCATTGAGTTAAAGCCAGGCAGACATTAGGATTACAAGGCTCTGAACGCTGAGGTACCATCATGGAATCCACTGAGAGCTTTCTGAGAGTCTAATGGATTCCAGAGGTCAAAGGTTAGCTTTTCTCTCCTTTCTCAGGGAGTCACTGCAGCGGAAGACTGGAGAGTTTAAACTAGATTAGTCAGATTCATGTTGTGTTGCTGTGCAGTTCTCAATATTAAGCTGTACTTTAACTGAGTGAAGCAGGAATAAAAATAATTTGCTTCCAGAGCAGTAAGGAGAAAATTTATAAAATTGTATTAAGTGAAACAATAACATGCAAAAAAAAACCTTAAAATAAAATAAAAATATTTAGGCAACAGCTGTAGTTCTATCACAGCT